AGAACTCTAAGTACCTGAGAGAGAGTGGGCACCTCCCAGAACATTGTTTTGTGCCACTCCCAACAGAAATACTCCAGGTGGACACCTTCAGCAATCAGGAGCTCCTCAGTTGCCCATAGAAAATCCCACCTTGAAGTTTACAAAGACTTATGGGTAGAAAAGCCATACTAAGTAATTTACTACACCACATATAAAAATTCAAAAACTATCATTGAGAATGCAATGAATGAATTTAAAAGCAGACTAGATACAGCTGTAGTGAAAACTAATGAACTGGAGACATATTCAAAGAAAATATCCAGATTTAAGCATGGAGAGAAAAAAATGGAAAATACAAAAAAGGAAGGAGAAAAGAAAACTAAACAAAAAGTATGAAACTGTGATCCCAAAAAAAGAAAAAGAATGGGTCTGAAACAGTATTTGAGAACTGAGAACAGATATCGGGTGTAGAACTAAGAAGCAAAAAGGACCCCACATGGGAAGAACACTAAGAAAAGCACACCTAGGCACATCAGAGTAAAGCTGCTGGGTCTAAGGACAAAATCTTTTTAAAATGACAGACTACTGTCAAAGCAGCAAAAGTAAAATTTATCAACAGAAACAATGAAAGCTAGATGGTTATAAATGAAAGCTTCAAAATGATACAAGAAATTTCCAACCTAGAATTCTTTATTCAACAAATATATTTTCAAAAATGAAGTGAAATAATATTTTAATACAAAAAAAAAAAGATCTTGTCACCATAATACCTACATGTATGCAAATAATAAAGGATGTTGTTCTTCAGCAAACGAGAGGTACAGAAAGGAATAAAGCACAATAAAAAGCATAAATGCATGGGTAAATAAAAATATTAGCAAAACAGTAAGAAAATGCCTTGTGCTGCTTAAAATGCACATAGAATCAAAACAAACAACAAAGTATATAACAAAAAACAAAACAGCATATAAACCCTAACAAAACAAAGTTCTCATACTCACAGGAAAAGATTAAATGCTACAATCAGTTTTAAAGCTGTTTACAGATAATGGCAATCTGTTTTATTTCACTGGCCACATTTTTTAAAGCCAGCCATAGCTCTGAAATTCAGACAGTCATCTAGAGTCTCACTCCAGTGAGTATATTTCTGAAAGTCAGCCAATGAACAACGCCAAGCAACCAAGCTTCTATAGCTGACTTCAACATACTCTCACCTTTGAAAGCCCAATCCCTGAACACCAAACTTCCCCGAAATGACATAATACAAGGAATAAGAAAGATTTTTTTTATTCACATATTGGGTTATTCCTATGAAATGATTGAATATTTACACTATCCAGGCATTAAAACAAAAATTACATATACTTATATGGGTAATATGAACAAGAATGGCACTCCTTTTAGCTAATAAGGAAATTAAAGACAATCTCTCCTCACTCTGGAAAAGATATTCTTTTCCACTAGTTGGTGCTATCATCAAGTTAAGGAGCCCTGGTGGTGCAGTCATTAGGTACTTGGCTGCAAACTGAAAGGTCACAGATTCAAACCCACCAGCAGCTCTGAGGGAGAAAGATGTAGCAGTCTGCTTCCGTAAAGATTATCACCTTGGAAATCCTATGGGGCAGTTCTACTCTGTCATGTAGTGTCAGTATGAGTTGCAATTAACTTGATGGCAACAGGTTTTGTTTTTTTGTTTATTGTGGGTTTTTAGGTTTTTTGTTTGTTTGGTCATCAAGGTAACATCAAGACACAATATATCTACAGTTTCAATTACAATATAATTGTGCAACTCTAGGTTCTTTTTCATACAGGGAATCAGAGTTTTTCATGCCACCACTGGACAAAGACAACTGTTCTGTGAGGGTAACAATGAGATATCCCAAATGTATGACTCCCCAGCACGCTAAGTAGACTATCTTCTAACAAAGAATGGGAAGGCTTCCCTTTGATAAGCAGCGGAGAAGATTCCTGAGGATACTGATTCCACCCACACTTTCCTTTTCTAACTACAGTGTATCTTCACAGGGTGTAATCACTGGCAATAAGAAATAAACTACTTGAATCAAATAATTCCTTTCTACTTAAAACAGTAACACTGATATTTAAAATCAAGAAAATAGAGAATTTAAATTTTCCATCTCATACATTTTTACTTCATATTTCTATTTGGTACTTTTAAATAATAACTATACTGAGTTTAGCCCTGATATGGTTTTAAAACATTTTTGATACTGGAAGATAATTATTGTTCTGTCACTCAAAGAGTCATCTTATTTATATAAATGCTAGTTAAGTACCACAAAAATCCTAAAATACATAATTAGAATGTCACACATCACTTAATCCATTCTGTCAAAACAGAGATTATTTTAATTTCTTTTTCACTACCTTCAAAAGAAATTTTATTGACCTTATTTTCTCTAACAGGAAAAAAAATTAGCAGGATAAACTTACAACATACTTGCCCAATCAAACTTTAAAATGATTCTGGTTAACCACAAATTTGACTCAAGTAAGTTAAATATTTTTTTGAATGTATTTTACTGAAATATGTCTGACAACATATAATAATGTCATATAGTATTTGGGTTAGGTGCTATAGAATTACAAATTTACTTCACTGATTATTCTTTTCAGTCAATCATATATAAAAAAATATATTTCACCTTTATAAATTACCTAAATAAACTAGATGTATTGCTGATCTAAATTAACAATTTTGTAAGTAGCTATTTTATTTTGCCTTAAAAATAATAATAAAAAGCTTTTATTAAGGAACACATCACACTAAGCTGAATTTACCAAACCAAAAAACCCCATACATACATACACACACACACACACACACACATACATACACACATAAAATCTAGCCCTATCACTTTCAAACATCCTGACAATACACAGGAAAATAAATACAAAAAAGTTTTTCAGTTATTTTTGAACATTCAAAAGTATATAACTTCATCAACTGTATGTATACCAGCTGTAAAAATTTAAGATAAAAGAAATACTGTGAATATTATGACATTTAAGTAATATTCTAGCTACAATTTCTTGACGTCACATTAATAAGTATCACACACACTGACGCCAATAAGAAAAGGGGGAGTACCACAGTAGTTTCTTGGTGAGTTTCCAAACTTTATCTTAATAAATAAACAACCATGTGGGACCTAAATTTGCCATAGAGAAAAAGATACATGGCAGGCTTTGGTACCTCATACTAGAACCTCTGTAAAATCTTTTCTTTTTCAAGCTAATATTTCCTTTGTAATAAAATACTATACAGTCATACTCTAAACCAGAGTCTTTAGAAATGAGATTAGTAAAATAATTTAAAAATACTTACTGTCTTGTTTCGTAATCTAATTATGTCTGAGACAGAGCCAGCACCACAGTATTCCATCACAATCCAGAGGTCTGTGTTCTTAAAGTAACTGCCATAGTATTTTACAACGTATGGGCTAAAAGAAAATGCAGAGACAATTAAATTCATTTAATTCCCAAATAATTTTTTTCTTAATCCCAATACAAAGCATTTTCAACATTTCATAATGTTCTAATAAGTAAACATCCATTGGAGGTCAAATTGTATATATCTAGGGCTCAGCAAATATGTGTGTTTAGGCTTTAATTCACAGATGCAATTTAACAGGTTTACAAGCCAGAGATCCAATTGTGCTGAGTGATTCCCAAGAAAATCAGGGTTAGTTGTGGCAAACAATTTACTGTTTTAACATAAGGAAGAAATTAAAATATATTTTTTAAAACTAAAGTATTTTAAATGTAAGTCACCGGAAGGAGTTCGTATTCAGTCAAATACTAATGGTCAACTTTAAAATATGTTATTTCAGTAAGGCCTAATTTTTTCTTTTAATTCTTGTTCATTATGGCTTTTGAAAATTCTGGAGAAAAATAGTAATTTCTTTTGTTCTAAATTCAAATAATTAAAATTATTAACTATTTAAATTACTTCTGAACTGAGGTTTCATGTCTTCAAAAGCAGAATAAACTAAGCTTACAGTTCACTTATTTCCAGGAAGACATAAAAAGGGACAAGTAACCACCATCATTAATATTTATTAAGAGTCTGCTACATACACATTGATGCAAAAAATATCCTGCCCAAATCAAAGAATATTCATATTCACAAAATTAAAAAAGGATGGATACAAGGTAGGATAAACTAAGTGGTACCAGCTTACAAGAGTTCAAAGGAGAAAATGACCATAGTGATCAGAGAGAATTTTTTGGAAGATGCAGGACTTGAACTATGAAAACATGGTTAAGAATTCAAAATGTAGGTGGAGAAGAGAGGTAAAAGTATTTTAGACAAGCAAAAGGCCATGAACAACAGCATAAAAATCCAAAGTAAAAAACCAAGAATGTCATGTCTAAGGGACAATTTGTTGAAAAGATATTTCTGAGTAGCTACTTTGCTAGACATTAATGTAAGATAATTAAGACATAGGAACTAAAAGAGCTAAAAACTGTAAGAAAAAATGGAAAGTACAATAAAAGACCACATTATCAAGACCACCAAAGGAGACAGCTAAGAGAGGACTGTCAGGGAAGACTTCCAGTAGAGCCTCTACAATTTGAGGTGAATCTTAAAGTCAAAAGCAGAGCAATTTGTTTGCAATTTAAGGGCCTGAATTAAAACAGGTGGCTAGAAAGTTAGAATTCAATCCTGTTCTCTCTCTCCTACTCCTCATTACTTCTTGCACAGACTTGCTTCCCAACTCATCTTCTTGACATAGTTTCCCCTTCCATTCTAATGTATCCCCCATACAGTTGACAAAATTACTTTCCTTTAAAATAAAAGTTAAACAACATGATCATATTGTTCTCCTGGTTGAAAAACTTCAATAGCTCTCCAAGAACAAAGTCTTAACTACTTCATATCACAAAGAACATCTTCACAGTCTCCCTCTCCACCTATTATCTCTCATTACCCCCACCCCACATCTCACATGCTAAATTTCCAGGCACATTCAATTTTGCTAGGTGTTGGGAATGGGAAGCACATATTTAAAAATGTTACCTTTGAGTAGACTGCAACTCTTGGCAACCCCATGTATTTACTACCCAAAACCAAATCCACTGCTATGGAGTCAATTCCCACTCATAGCAACCCTTTAGGACAGAGTAGAACTATTACCACATAGGGTTTTCCAAGGCTGTAAACTTTTACAGAAGCAAACTGCCTCATCTTTCTTCCATGGAGCAGCTAATGAGTTTGAACCACCAACCTTCTGATTAGCAGCCAAATGCCTTAACCACTAACATTACCAGAACTCCTATTATGTATGTATTAAAAAAAAAAAAAAAACTCACTGCCATCCAGCCAATTCCAGCTCATAGAGACCCCTCCTTGGGTTTCTGAGGTGGTATCACTATGGAAGTAGATTGCCCAATCTTCCTTCCAAGGAGTGGCTGGTGAGTTTGAACCACCAGCCTTCTGAAGCAGTCAAATGTATTAGGGGTTCTTAAATATTCACTGAACCATTAAGAAAATACTTGTTGCAAACAAATGAAACTGATACATGGAGCCAGAACTTCAACTTATGGAAAACATTAAGTTTCTGGACATAAGTGCCTATGTAGGAATCTTTACAGGGAGTAGTACTGTTACACCTGTGACCCTTTTGGAAAATACACATTCCTAGGCCCTGTATCTTGGCAGTGCTGATTTCAGTGGGCAAAGCTCTACAGGGAACTCTGATACAGATCCAGAGTTAAGCTTCACACCAAAAGAAAGACTGCAGATCCTTCAGAGCAACAAGGCTCTTTCAATATCAAATTTCTCAAACAAAACTTTGACAGGTGTTAAATAGCAGTGAGATTAAGATTACGTTCACTGCAAAGTAAACAGAAAATGTGTATTTCACCTTGGCATATACATTAATCCAATCAGCAATGCTAAGGAAGGACTGGCAGTTCTTATACAAATTAGGTAATCTAAACTGGGCAGCTACCTAAGAAGGCTACTCATTTTCTCTCTCTTTAGGAGTGAGTCAAGAGAATAACTTCAGAGAAAAGTAAAATTCTCTTGAAAAATAATTTGTGGCACATTCTAATACAAAATCAAGTAGATGAACAAGATCTGACAGTTCTATATCATAAAGCACAGCCTTTATGATAAGCCTTTAACCTAAAAAAGTATTTAAGCACTAAGGACACAAACAAGAATATAGTTTCTAGCATTCATTCAAATTCATTGACTGACCCAGAACAAGAAAGAATGCCTGCTTTTATCACTACTATTCAACACTGTACTGAACAGTCTAGCCAGAACAATTAGGCAAGACAAAGATAAAAGGCATCCACATTAGAGAAGTAAAACTATATTTACAGATTACAAGATCCTACACAGAAAATCCCAAAGAATCGAAAAGAATTCTGTTGTAACTAATAAATAAAGTCAGCAAAGTTGCAGATGACACAATCAACACACAAAAATCTATTGTGGTTCTGCATGCCAGCAATGAACAAGCTGAAAAGCAAATTAAGATAACAATTCCATTTACTACAGCATCTAAAAATAAACTCAATTAGAGACATGAAAGACTTATACACTGAAAACTATCAAACACTGCTGAAAGAAATTTTAAAAGGTCTAAATAAATGGAAAGACATCCTGTTCTCATAGACTGGAAAAGTCAAAACTGCTAATATGCTATTATTCAAAGTGATCTACAGATTCAACACAATCTCTATCACAATTTCTACAGCCTCTGTAAAAATGGAAAGCTGATCCTCCCATTTATACGGAACTGCACGGGCTCTCAAATAGCCAAAGCAATCTTGAAAATGAAAGACTCCTACTTCCCAATTTCAAAACATACTTTAAAGTTACAGTAATCAACGCAGTACAATACTGGGATAAGGACAGCCATACAGACCAACGGAACAGAACTGAGAGTCCAGAAATAAACCCATACATCCATGGTCAACTGATTTTTGGCAAAAGTGTCAAGTCCATCCAATGGTGAAAACATAGCTTCTTTAACAAATGGTGCTAGGACACCTGGGCCTTCACATGCAAGAGAATGAAGTTGGACCCATACTTCACACCGTATTTAATGTTGTTGTTGTTGTTATGTGCCGTCGAGTCAGCCCTGACTCATAGCGACCCCTCCTTGGGTTTCCGAGGCAGTATCACTACGGAAGTAGGATTGCCCAACCTTCCTTCCGAGGAGTGGCTGGTGGGTTTGAACCATCAGCCTTCTGGTTAGTAGTCAAGTGCTTTAGCCACTATGCTACCAGAGCTCCCACTGTATTTAATAGTTAACTCAAAACTGATCAGTGACCTAAATATAAGAACTAAAATAATAAAACTCTTAGAAGATAACACAGAGGTAAAACTCTAGGACCTTATTTTTTTTGGTAATTCTTAGATTATGACACCAAAGGCATGAACCAAAAAGAAAAAAAACAGATAAACTGGACTTCTTCAAAATTAAGTTTTTGTACATCAAAGGACATTATAACAAAATAAAGTGGCCAGCCACAGAATAGGAGAAAACATTTAGTGACTGTTTGATAAGGGTTTAATACCCAGATTACATAAGGAACCCCTACAATGCAACAACAACAAAAAAAACATTAAGCATGATATTAGCTGTGGAGTTTTCACAAATGCCCTTTCTCATATTGAGGAAATTTTATTTCTAGTTTGCTACCTGCTTTTATCATGGAACACTACTGGATTTTGTCAAATGTCTCTTCTGTATCAATTAGGATAACTATGTGCTTGTTTGTTTCTCTCTTGTTCTAGTAGTGTGATGTATTACACTGATTGATTATCTTATGGTGAACCTTGGATCCCCTATACTCTTTATCCTAACAGTCTTTCCTGAGTACAGTCCGTCCTCAGGTTGCAAACACCTGAACAACCAAATTACAGACAACTCCTATTTGCCCTTTAATGTTACATAAATTTGCCTTCACTTTGAAATGGGTGAACCAACCACTACTCACAACAAATTTGTCACCATCACCTTCACTTGCTGCCTATGAAGCTTTTAAATCATTAAAAAGGCTTCAAGCCTTTTCCTGCACTAAAGTAAGGCTAAAACTGTAAGCACCTGTTCCAAATTATCTCCAAATTTGACTTAAAGAAATAGAAACAGATCTCACTCATAACCCTGGGACTGCCTGTATCACAATTCAAAATAGAAATGGTACAAAAATAAAAATGAAAAAAGAGGTGAAAAATGGAGACGGTGCTACACATGGAGTCACCAGGAGTCAGAAAAGACTCAATGGCAACTAACGACGACCACAAAGTATTAATAAAGGCATATTTTTAAAGTCCTAGCACTGTAAGCATGTGATATAACTAAAATACTAAAGAAATGGGTTCGTTTTCATTAAATAATTTTCATCAACATTCTACTGCAATTTTAATAGCATTCCGCAATGTAACAAGGGTAAGATAAATAATCTTCTATGAGAATGGGATTCTTTCAAATATAAATCTAAATCCTGGCAATTTATTTTTTGGCCCACTAAAGAAATGAATAAACATACACATTAGTTGATACAAATAAAATCTTACCCAGAAACATTACCAAACAGAACAGATAAAGAGCTACTATAACAGAAGCCACAAATGCTCTGTGCCACTCTCAGGAGACCAGAAAAATACTCTGTTCTCACCACATGGATCACTTGTCATCTTAGTCTAACAAAACAAACTCATGCTTGATAACTCAGCTTACGTATGATCTCCCTGGGGAAGATTTCACGGAATCTTCAGGGTGAGTTGTTAGATATCCTTTCCAACCTGCATAGTTCCCCATATCTACCCCATCACATCTCTTATCATATTGTATTGAAACACCTGTCTATTCATCATCTGTCCCATCTGACCAAAACTCCCTTTAGTACAAAGCCTGACACTCATTCATTGTAGTATCTCTTGTGCATAGTACATAAGACGTCCTATGCCATCCCTAGGATACTGGATTTATCTGAGCAACAGGAAGCCACTTTGGGGCTTTAAACTGGAATGAGTGTGATCAGGTTTGCATTTTTAAAAGAGCACTTCCAGCTTCAGGAAGAAAAATTGTCAGAGTAGACAAAAATTAAAAACAAAGTGAAGAAACAGGATGCTGTTGCAGAAATATAAGCAAGAGGCAATAGGTTCGAAGACTCACAAAGGGGAAAAGATACATAACAGGTACTATCTGATGCCCTGTGTTTCCAACCATGCTCAAATGAGATCGCTAAAGCACAGCACTAGTCTCTGAACTATCTTCAACCTAAGACAGAGTAATAATACCAACAAACATGTATTGAGTACCTCATGGGCCTAGCACTATGCTTTGTTCAATCTTTCCTTTTCTACATCAAAACGTGGAAACCACATTCTCATCAACCTACCAAATTAATAGCAAGGTCTGGAAAACTTTGTAATTACATACTTTGATCTGGGGCCAAGGAATGCATTATTTTTTTATAACCACTTGAATTGCAAGCTGTAGAGCCATTATGGAAAATATGTAACGTAATATAAGTATATGGCATATGCTAAAGAAAAGCAAAATTGAAGAAACCCAAGCAGCAAAATTCCCCTAGGATTATTCAGTCACATCATTAGCCAAAGAGATTATAACATACAGATCTTACACACTGTTGGAAGAGAAGGTTCTCCACAGGTCTCTCACACTCCTATACATCTTGCTGGGTACACTAAGGACACAAGGCCCACACCACTCTCTACCTGGGCCATTTCTCAGGGTTGTGTTTGCAGTGAGCAACCCTGAGGGATGAAGTAATGTCTCCCTCTGGGAGACTTACTGCTTATTATAAAATGACACATTCCCCAAGCTCAGTATTCTTCATCTGTGGTACAAACATGGTGCATGCATAGCATCTAGCTAGCCTTCCACATCACCCACATGGAACCTGAGAGCAAGAGAAATCAATGCCAATCATGCTACATGCTGAGCTATGAGTAAGAGTGTCCTTTGTCTCTCACCCAGAAATGTCATGTCCTTTGCCAGCATCTATAAAGCAGTAACCTATTAGCTGAAAAGTACGGTAAAATATCAGAACCTTCACAGTTCTTGACATATATTTGCTCTAAAAGTAAACAGAATGGGAACACATTCTGCAATAAAAGACATTCCTTTGCGAACAAATTACACACCGCCCCCATGAGATTTAATCTCTGAAACTGTTAGCAAAAGCAGATCATCGGATCTCAGGTGCCATGGTAGACAAAGTGTCTAAAATGAGTAGGATAAACGAATAAGTAAGTAGTTTTTGCAGACATAATTCAGACACTACTACTCACAGCTACAACTATTGAATGAACAGATGAGCAGATAAAGAAAATGAATGTTCATTCCTTTTAATACTCATTTCTAATCTGAATGAATGTACTGGATAATTTTCTAGCTTTGACATTCTTTGTCTAAAATTCCAAATAAAAATCAGTATTTTAAACCATTCCTTTATTATCTAGCACAAGAGTGATCCATGCAAAATATAAATATGACCATGTCAATTTCCTGCATAAAGCCTTTTGATCCCTGTGGCAGCCACTGCTAGATGACTACCAATATTTCCTTCTCCTCTTCTCTTAATAGAGCTCTGATCTGATCTGTGGCGACAGTGTGTGCTACTCCCCTGCAGCTCTATGTTATTACATGACACGATTCCGACAAATAAAGCATAAGCTGAGCGTTTCTAGAAAAAGCCCCTTTCTGCTGCTTCTCTTCTTTGTCCTGTCTAGAATGTGGAGAGAAGGCTGGAGCTGGAGAAGCCATCTTGTACCCATGAGATGATGATCATGAGGACAAAGGACACCCAGCACGGCAGAGTGTAAGAACCCTGAGACACACGTTACTCTGATACAGTAGTACTGGCACTTCCTTCAGACCTTTTGTGAAGTGAGAATAACAAATAAGTAACTACTGTTGTTGTTGTTATGTGCTGTCAGCTCAGACCCGACTCATACCGACCCCTCCTTGGATTTGTGAGGCAGTATCACTACGGAAGTAGACTGCCCCATCTTCCTTCCAAGGAGTGGCTGGTGGTTAACAGTCAAGAAATAAGTAACTATAGGCTAAACTATTTCCTAATTTATACACTTGCAAAAATGGCATGGGGAAGGCATCATCTGACCTCCTTTAACTTCATGACGGGGAGAGAGAATGAGCACCACCATCAACAGCCCTAAGCTGATTTATATGAAACAGAAATCAGACATACCACCACCCTCCAACCTTCTTGCCAATTCTGACACCAACAAATTCTCCCACAACTCTCTCTACTTCGCTGGTGAGTTCAATAATTTACTGCAATGGCCACACAGAACTCACAGTCAATACTCACAATTATGGGGTTTATTAGGAAAGTAACAAGTTACACTTCAGGATCACGGACTCAGGATATAGTTCTTCAATCAGGAAAGCCTATTCTCAGCCATGCCTCCAGCATGCTTCTCTCTAGCCTTGGCCTCCACCCTACTCAGGCGAGTGCTTATATAAAGCTCTTTTGAGCTCTGCCAGTAGGTGCCCAGAGAGCTACTCCACTCCACCAGCATGGCGCCCACCCGAAGGCACTCAGCCTTCTCACTCAGTGGGCCCGCTGCTCTGACTCATGCTCGTCTCTGCTGCTGGGGTCTGCTGCTGCAGTTCTGCTTCTGCAGTTTCTCTGCAACTGCTTCTCACCATCTCAGGAAAGTGTTACATCTCTATCTCCTGGGTCAAGAAGGATCAGCTCATGAATCTCAGGTTCAATGGATGCATTCCACTCCTGGCTCGTCTTTCTGGATGGTAGTGAGATCCCCCTTTCTGCCTCTGGGATGGCTCAATTTAAGCCTCCAACCAAACCAAACTCACTGCCATCGAGTTGGGTGCAACTCACAGTGACCCCTCCTTGGGTTTCTGAGGCAATATCACTACGGAAGTAGACTGCCCAACCTTCCTTCCAAGGAGTGACTGGTGAGTTTGAACAGCCAGCCTTCTGGTTAGCAGTCAAATGCCTTAGGCACTATGCCACCAGAGCTCCCTAATTTAAGCCTAGCAGAAGGTAAAACTGACCGATACACATGTTAGGGTTCCAAACACCTTATTTGCATAGTCTCACCCTCACAAAGGTCCCATGTACCTTATTTATAATATTAGCAACCTATCCAATCCCTTGGAGGGCCACAAGCACCTCACTTTTACACAGTCCCACCCAGTCATCTAGTGGGAGCCACAAAGACCATGGCTAGAAGAGATATACGAAGTATTTCACTGCACTGCAACAGTCTACATCCCTTACCGAATAGACACCAGGCTTCCTAACACAGCATACAAGACTCTTCATGATCAGCTTCATTTGTAGCGAAATTCATTTCACACCCATCTTTATCTTATACTTTCCACTCCAGAAAGTCTGAACTTTGTAGGAGTAACACATACCAGTGAGCTATTTTATACCTCTCTGCCTATAATTCTCCTTACTCTCTCTTATCCTTCCAGTTATTAAGCATAATACCTCCTCCTCAGCATTTCAGACTTCCTGATTCCCCTGCCTTTGGCGGATGTCCTGTCTCTTGTTTTCACATCACGCCATGGACCAGTCAATACAGTGACTGCTGTATTATATCCATTTGTTTATATATCAATGTCCCCAGTAAGACTCCCAGCTCCTCAAAAAAAGCAGTATCTTAGCTATCTTGTCATTCCTAGATCCTGGAAAAGTACTAAGACAACTGGGGATGCTCAGTAAATGTTTGTTGAATTAGATTTACATAAAACATGACTGCTTTTAACAAGTAAAAACTCACATAATATTGCTGTTGTGAGGTGCCATTGAGTCATAGCAACCCCACGTGACAGATACAGCTGCCTCAGGACTTCCTAAGCTACAGTCTTTGTGGGAACACAACGCCAGATCTTTCTCCCACAGAGGCACTAGGCAGGTCAGAACATCCAAACTTTGGTTAGCAGTTGAGTGTTCGATACAAGACAATTAAATGACCCCCTTAAATAAAGAAAAATGATTTTCACCCATAAATTAGCCCTGAAAATAGTAAAACTGCTTAAGCATTTTCTATCACCACATATTTCTTAACGTTATAATACCATTTTTGCTAAAAAGCAAACTGCTGTAAGTCCTAAAGACTGTTCTCAACAGCTGTCCTCATCTTCCTTAGGACTAGTCTCACTTCCAATGGGATGGCAGAAAAAATTAAACAGATAGCCAAAGAATACATTTTTTTACACATTATTAGCAATACTCATCAAAATGAAAATAAAGAAACAAAATCTCTTCATACCTGTCACATTGCTGCATTATGGAAATTTCTTTGATGATTTCCTGAAGATCTGATTCAACAGGCACTTGTTTAATTGCCACAACTTGACCAGATTCCTTATGTATTGCTTTAAACACACTTCCATAAGACCTAAAAGAAACCAAGATACTATTTTCTTTCAAACATCATAACTATCAGGGAAAAGAATATCTTGTGGTAAGTTCTGTCTGTAGTCTGTTCCAGTTGAACCACCACCTCCACCATCAGTTGCCACTGAGTATACTCCAAAGAATGGCCATCCCATGTGTTGTAGAGAGGACCATATGTACTCCATAGGGTTTTCAAGGCCGGGATCTCTTAGAAGTACATCACCAGGCCTTTCTTCAAGGTGCCTCTGGACAAATTCAAATCACCAACCTTTCAGTTAGTTGTCAAGCGTTTAACTGCTTGGGACTCCTTTCTAGTTGAAAATACTAAAGCACTAGTAAAAATCAAAATAAACAAATAATAATACAGAAAAGTTCATTACTTTTACCTTAGCTTTATGGCTTAAATTATAGACTTGAAATCTACCAAAATCATCAAGTTAATATATAGTGATTTGCTTGTGTTTTTCTATGAAAGAAATACACTTACGGTCAACTCAAACGTACGCAGCATTAAGAAGATATAAGTGGAAATTAAAACAATGAAATGTAGATTAATAAAAGCCAAAGTCTCAGGTTAGAAGAAAAGGCTGACCTCACCTTAAGTAAAGAAACGCCCAAATATCAAAGTCCTATCCCCGTTCAGAGGATCTAAATCCAACTGTAACCCTCACCTCCAAAACCAAAAACCAAACTCACTGCCATTGAGTTGGATCCAACTCATAGTAACCCCTCCATGGGTTTCCAAATCTACAGAAGCAGACTGCCCGATCTTCCTTCCGAGGACTGGCTGGTGGGTTTGAACCACCAGCCTTCTGGTTTGCAGTCAAATGCCTTAGGCACTATGCCACAAGAGCTCCCAACCCTCACCTTGTTGTTGTTGTTATGTGCCGTCGAGTCGGCCCCGACTCATAGCGACCCCTCCTTGGGTTTCCGAGGCAGTATCACTACAGAAGTAGGATTGCCCAACCTTCCTTCCGAGGAGTGGCTGGTGGGTTTGAACCACCAGCCTTCTGGTTAGCAGTCAAGTGCTTTAGCCACTATGCTACCAGAGCTCCTACAGGACCCTAAAACACCAAAACTAAAGAAGCAACAGGGAAGCTTAGTCATCAGGTTCCTCCTGGATTACAGATCCTAAGACTCCTAAAATGTTCCTTTGACTATCTTCTCTCCCTCAAGGACAAAATCACACACTTACTGGTAAGTAAATTGAATGACAGCAGCCATTTACCCCAAAATGGTGGTGTAGCACCTAAGGCATATGACTGCTAACCAGAAGGCTGGTGGTTCAAACCCACCAGCCACTCCTCACAAGCAAGACTGGCCAATCTACTTCCATAATGATACCACCTCAGAAACCCAAGGAGGGGTCACTATGAGCCACATCCGACTCAAAGACAATGAGTTTGGTTTTAGGGTTTGGCTACAACTCTTGAAATTTTCCCAACTAAATAATAATTTTAAAAAAGCAAAAGGCATCAGGAAGAAAGTTATTTATAAATAAGCATGAGTTAAAATACAAGGTAAGAACTGATACCACTTACTGAGTGATCATAAATGAGGTATTATACAAGGTATCTGACATGCATTATCAAATCTAACTCTTAATCATGAGGTAAAACAGTATTATAGACACGGAAAGAGAGGCTCAAACATCAGTAACCAACAAGGCCAGAATTCTAACAGTCTGACTCCAAATATGCTATTCCTACTACATTATTTCTACAGAAAAGAAAGAAAAGCAAGTCACTGGAAAACATGGAATACGTCCTAATGGTAGGAATCTATACAGAGTAACTTTCAAATTTACTATCTTTCAAAATAAATGGCAAAGCATAAAGCAACTACTTTAACGTTTTTATACTATCCCTTGTTCTTTGGGGTGTCCAAAATGATTTAACTCCATGCAACACAAAAAGTCACCTTTGTACAGTTGTCAAAATATACATGATATATACATGTTGTTGTTGTTGTTGTTGTTGTTGTTGTCAGGTGGTGCCCTTGAGTCAGTGCCAACTCACAGAAATGCTATGCACAACAGAACAAAACACTGCCTGATCCTGCATCAGCCTCACAGCCCTTGCTATATCTGAGTTCATCTTTGCAGCCACTGCATCAATCCATCTCACTGAGGGCCTTCCCCTTTTCCAATGACCCTCCACTTTACCAAGCATGATATCCAGGAAACGGTCCCTTCCGACAACATAACTGAAGGAGGTGAGACAAAGTCTGGCCATTCTCGCTTCCAAGGAACATTCTGGCTGCACTTCTTCCAGGACAGATTTGTTAGTTCTCCTGGCAGTCCATGGTACTTTCAGTCTTCTTCACCAACACCACAACTCAAAAGCATCAACTCTTCTTCAGTCTTCCTTATTCATTGTCCAGCTTTCACATACACATGAGGTGACTAAAAATACTATAGCTTGGGTTAGGTACACCTTAGTCTTCAAAGAGACATCTTTGCACTTCACTACTTTAAAGAGGTCTTTTGCAGCAGATTTGTTCAGTGCAACACACCATCTGATGTCTTGACTGCTGCTTTCGTTGGTATTGATGATGGATCCAAGTAATATGAAATAACTGACAACTTCAATCTTTTCTCCATTTATCGCAATGCTGCTTATTGGTTCAGTTGTGGGATTTTCATTTTATGTTGAGGTGTAATCCATACTGCAGACTGTACTCTTTAATATTCATCAGTAAGTGCTTCAAGTCATCTTCACGTTCAGCAAAGTTCTGTTGTCTGCGTATCACAGGTCGCTAATGAGTCTTCCTCCAATCCTGATATCATTCTTCTTCATACAGTCCAGCTTTTTGGATTATTTGTTCAGCATAATCTTAAGTATGATGAAAGGATAGAACCCTGGCACACTCCCTTCTTGATTTTAAACCATGTAGCATCCTTTCTGTCATTCTATTCAAATGACAGCCTTCTGGTCTACGTACAGGTTCCTCACGAGCACAATTAAGTGTTCTGGAAATCCCATTCTCCTCAGTATTATCTATAACTTGTTATGACTCACACAGTCTAATGTTTTTGCATAGTCAATAAAACACAAGTAAACATTTTTCTGGTGTTCTTTTCTTTCAGCCAAGATCCATCTGACATCAGCAATGACATCCCCAGTTCCATGTCCTCTTCTGAATCCAGCTTGCATTTCTGGAAGTTCCCAGTCAATATATACTGCTGCAACTGTTTTTTAATTACCTTCAGCAAAATTTTACTTGCCTATGATATTAATGATACTGTTCAATAATTTCCACATTCTGCGGGATCACCTTTCTTTGGATTGGGTACAAATATGGATCTCTTCCAGTCAGTTGACCAGGTAGCTTCCAAATTTCTTGGCACAGATTAATAAGTGCCTCTAGCATGGCATCCGTTTGTTGAAACACCTCAATGAAAATTCCAGGAGCCCTAGTTTTCACCAATTCCTTCAGTGCAGCTTCAACTTCTTCCTTCAATACCATCGGTTCTTGATCATATGCCACCTCCTGAAAGATGTGAATATGGACCAATTATCTTTGGTACAGTGACTCTGTGCTTCCATCTTCTTTTGATGTTTCCTGCATCATTCAATAGTTTACCCATAAAATCTTTCAATATTGCAACTCAAAGCTTGAGTTTTTTCCTCAGTTCTTTCAGTTTGAGAAGTGCTGAGCATGTTCTTCCCTTTCAGTTTTCTTAACTCTTAAGTCTTCGCACATTTCATTATAACTGACTTTGTCTTCTCAAGCTACTCATTGAAATTGTCATTTCTTCCATTTCCCTTAGCTGCTCTATGTTCTAGAGCAAGTTTCAGAGCCTCTTCTGACATCCATTTAGGTCTATTCTTCCTTTTTTGTCTTTTTAATGACCTTTTGCTTTCTTCATGGATGATGTTTTTTGTTTTTGTTTTGCGATTTGGGTGGAAATTTAAAGCAAATTTTCTTTCCATACAGCACTTCACATACACTTTGTCTCATGACATTGACTACAATATACCACAGTGCAACAGCTCCCCTCCCACTTCCTCCTGATAATTACATCTTCCCTATGTCCATCCCTCCATGCACTCCTGCCCTCTGAGCTGTCTCCCTGTGCATAAACAGCCCTTCTTTCTCCCATGATTGCTGTCTCCAAGGAATTTATCCACCTCAGGTAAGTGTTCAACTCCTATGCCTGTCTTTTGTTTGGCTGGAAGCCACAGGTGTGGGTTCAATTCCAGACCTGAAGGGCAGCTAGGGGCCATAGTCTCCGTGGTTCCACCAAGCTGAATCAGACCAGTAAACCTGATCTCCCCCCCCTTTTTTTTTTTTCTCCAAATGATTTTGAGTTTTATTACACATTGTTCTCCCTCTTTATCCAGGATCTCCTACATAGATCCCACTCTGAGTGGTTGACAGTGGTAGCCAGGCACCATCAAGTTCTTCTGGTCTCACAGTCGTATAGGCTGAGGACTACATGGTATACCAGTTGCTAGGACTAATTCTTTCTATAAATCTTTGGTTTTCTTCATTCTTCTTTGCTCTGGATGAGGAAAGACCCATCATTGCATCTAGATGGCTGCTTGCAAGCTTTAAAGATCCCAGTTGCTACTCACCAAAGCAGGAGGTGGAACTATGTTTTGTGTAGTTTGTTATGCCGAGCTTGATGCCCCCTGTAACTATGGTCCCAAGCCCGCAGGTTCAACTACTTGGTCCCTCTAAGTAGCTGGCTGTGACCAAGAAGTGACTACAACCTTGTCCCTTGTCAGCTCTACTATACACCTGGGAATTCAGATCATACAAATACACTTTTGGGACCACTGTCCACCAACCCTATACATGGTTGTGGGTACGCTCCCCACTTCATAGACATACCTTAATAGTTCAGCCTGTCCACCAATCTATCCACCCATATACCCATGTTTGCCTTCACTGACAGTGCAGTACTGTATGTGCAAAAGGCTTTATCTTTGTTGTCTATACCTCCCATGTACCTCTCTCTGTCTTCCTCTTCCTCAATGCCAGCATGTTGATCAC